GTATTTGGCGCTGTGCTTGTGATCAGTCATTGTGATAGCATGAAGTATCGTTGCATTTGACTGGCTACCGGCTACCTGACCAAGGATCACTGGAAAGTTGCCAGGTTATCTTTCGCCATCTGCCGGCTTGAAGTTCGCCGACGTGCCCAACGGACTTGCAGCGATTTCCAAGGTGCCTGCAGCAGGTTGGGGACAGATCTTGGCCTACATGGCATTCTGCGAGGTGTCCCAGGATCAGTCTCCTGGCACACCTGCTGCTGCGGGAGACTTTGGCTTCAAGGTCTTGACTTCATCTGACCCTGAAGAGAAAACGAAAAAGCTCTCAGCGGAGCTGGCAAACGGACGACTTGCGATGATGGCGATCATTGGCATGTTTTTCCAGGAGATCATTTCTTGTTTTATGATATTCATGACACTTGAAGATATGTTTGTGTTTTTTTGTTGTAAACGTGTCATCAAATACTACGTAATGTATGCTTCTATATCATTCATTCATTTGCCAGCCAGCTGATTTGTGTGTGTAGTTTATGATGTGCAGAGCTGGCAGAGCCAACAACACGAGGGTGTTTGTTTTACTACGCAGGATGGCCTGACCGGCAGCGCCTGGGGAGACTGGGCCAACTACACTGCATCTCCTTTGCGCTGAGGACGTGACTTGGAGGCCGTCGTGATGCTTTGGAGGAAAAAAGGCCGTGACGCGTCGAATCGAGGCTGCGGTGGAAAACAAAAAAAAAAACAACAGCAGCTTTCAAGGGCCACCAGACATGGAAATCAGCACCAAGGTGTTGCTGCTATGATTGGATCTTCATCTCCACCGCGTGTTCAAAGGATTTGTTCATAGGATTATAGGATGATTGATATTAGGTTGGAGGCCATCGCTATTAGGTTGGAGACCATCTTTATTAGGTTGGACGCCATTGCTATTTGCCCTATGGATCCACATACCGAACCTGAGAAGGTGATTGGAGACTATTTATTTAGGCGCCAGGAGGGTCCAATTGACGACTCCATCCATTCATCGACGACTCTCCCTGCAGTTTCTGCTGCTTTCAGGTGTGGTGAGTTGCCCGCCCGTGGAGGCGTGCCGACGAGCTGAGAGTGCGGTGAGCTGAGACTGGGTATCAAATAATTGTATGTGATGGTATATTATAGTATATAAATACAATAACACTACCTAGAAATACTATACTTTATCAAATACTAGTATATGTTAAATAGTATCTGTCACACTACTGGTGGGTCTATGCTGAGACGGTGTAGGACCGGATTCGCGGGCTGCGACCCTCCAGTACCCCCCAGCGCAGACCGAAGGCATGTCGTTGGGCCAATCAGGTGAGGGGTGTATTCCAATCCACACCACTAAGCTATTTACGGACTGGAACCGAGATAGCTATATTAATATATTATACTATATTGAGAATTGATAATTACTAACTCTAGTTACAGTATTCAATTACCGGCAGAGTATACAAGAGGCTCGGTGCCGGGTCCTGAACCAACGGTCGCTGCGCGGCCCGTGAGGCGGTCGACGAGTGGTCGGACTGGAAGTGGAGTGCTCGGACGGTGCCCCGACACAAGGCCAGGAACGTGTTTTTTAAGCGGATGTTTATTTCGGTTGTGGATGTTTATGTGGCTCACAGACCTAAATAAAGGTATGTTGAACCACCGACAAACAAATACAACCACGAGGTTGCAGGTATTGACCTTTCCAGTCCTGATTTGAGCTCCCTTATTTAACCGCAGCACACACACTCTGACATTGGTTTTCAGTTAACTCAATTCCCAGGTGGAAAAAGGTGACGGAACAGCAAGGCGAAAGGTCCAAGAATTTGAAGATGTTTCAACAAATGGTTTGGTGCACATCTGCAGTTCACGAACGCGCGGCAGCAGAAAGCGGCTGAAGGAAAAAGGTTTAGGGGGAGGTATCATGGAAACCACCATGGAAGCAAACCAAGGAAGATTGGGGTGACAGCTTGTGAAAAACTCGGCAGGTACATGGTTGAGCGTCCTCAACCACTTCCTTTCCAGTGACCCAGCTTCGTTGGATCAGGTTAGTCACAGGAAGCCTGATCCCCTTGCTAAAAAAAGAACGAGTCCGACGTGAAAAGCCCTTAGGAACAGGGTTTGACACACACACACACACACACACACACACGGTGCCGCTTTGCGGCGCTCGTGCGAACAACCTGAATAGGTACCTAAAAAGCCTTAGAAACAAAAGAAAGAAACACAGAAAGAGCAGCGCTAAGAGGGCAAGAGAGAAAGGTAGGAGTAGAGAAAAAAGTGAATACTTAGCCCTTGACTGGGGTAGGGAAACGAGCCTCAAAAGCAACCTAAAAAGCCTGAGAGAAAGCCCAAGAAACGGACCAAAAGCGCAAGAAGGAAAGTGGGGGGGCAGGGAGGTGTATGTACATGTGTGTGTCCGTGTGTGTGTATGAATACTTAGCACTCTAGAATTACTGATTACTTAGCGGAAATGAATTAAATGCAATAGTTAGGGAGCGGGACTTTAGTCTTAGACCGCCCGGGTAGAGAAGACTAGAAAAGGGACAACAGAGGGAAAGGCACCGACACACAAGTGTGCCGAGTACCATTTCCCTCTGTTACCCTAATTAGTGGGGGGGAGAGGGTGGGGTGTTTGGGGTAGAAACCGCGTTTGGGTTCATTCTCCGTACAAGCCTGGCGGCTGTTGAACTCAAAAGGTTTTGTCGTACAAGCGCGACGGCTCGTAAATCAGTTGATCCAGTGGTGAAAAGGAATCAGTTAAGAAAATCCAACGAAAGGTGGAAACGAAGATTCAGTTACACGAATTCCGGAATGAGAACGGCGCCTCCTTGCGGAGGATCACACCCAGCACCCAAGTGGGACGGCTGAGCGAGTCACACTCTGACATTGGTTTTCAGTTAACTCAATTCCCAGGTGGAAAAAGGTGAGGGAACAGCAAGGTCCAAGAATTTGAAGATGTTTCAACAAATGGTTTGGTGCACATCTGCAGTTCACGAACGCGCGGCGGCAGAAAGCGGCTGAAGGAAAAAGGTTTAGGGGAGGTATCATGCAAACCACCATGGAAGCAAACCAAGGAAGATTGGGGTGACAGCTTGAAAAACTCAGCAGGTACATGGTTGAGCGTCCTCAACCACTTCCCTTCCAGTGACCCAGCTTCGTTGGATCAGGTTAGTCACTGGAAGCCTGATCCCCCTCCTTAAAGAAAAACGAGTCCGACGTGAAAAGCCCTTAGGAACAGGGTTTGACACACACACACACACACACGCAGGAGCAGGTTTACCTAGTACAGGCACTTGCGCACCTGCGACAACTTCACACATCTTACCGCCAATGTGCAGAGATGGGAAATTACTTCCTCCGCCCCGGAGACAATGCCGAAACATCAGATGCGGGGAGAGAGAAACGGAACTGATGTATATATATATATATATGCATTTTATGCCACACACATTCCTACGGAAGACTAGGGAAGATGTCATGGGCTTTGACCGGGCGGGGTTTGACTGTTCGAGGCACGATACTACAGTTTCCTGTTAGCGGGAGACATCCTACCAAAATGAAGGGAAAACACGGTGAGAACAAAGAGTGTTGTATTCACATAATGTGTACAGTGGTTGCAACTGGATTTGTTTCCACCAACTTACCCAACGGAGGTTCATGTTGCAAAAAGATTCTTAGACCAGAGCTCCGCTCGAGCTCGGCTCAACCGATCGCTTTCCAGGATGTGCATCAGCTTCGCCAGCTGTTACAACACTACTTCCAGCCGTTCAACTTCCAGCACAATCGGGCCGGACATGTTGGACGAACGTTCGGAGGGCGGCCGGTGGTTTTCTTGGACTGGACAGCCATCGGGGAGATGAGCCCAGCAAGTACTATATAATAAGGACAGAGCTTTTGCCCCTGGACTGCGTGCAAAGTGGATAGATTGTTTTTGAATGAAAGAGCTAACTGGAACCGGGGCTGTGAGCTTATGAATGTTGTCCAGAAACATGAACTGAGCCGAACACCGTTGTTCAACCAGATTCCCAAATGAAAGGAGTCCAACAGATGTTATGTGCGTGACCCAGGCATGACTGCGAGTCAAAGATTTCAATCCCCAAACCCCAAAAAAGGTCAACAAAGACTGTTTGCTGATATCCCTGTTAGTCCATGATTCCAGTCAAGCATTGCATATATTATATATATGATATGTAACCAGTTGTAAGTTACGTTGTACACATATGTCTATATATACATATAGATATAGATATGTGTGTCATTGTATTACGATTATACTTATTGTATATTGATTCTGTAAACTCTATGTTTCTTTAGCATTTGCCCACCTCCATGGATTCTCCATTCTTCGGTGCAGGTCTTGATGTCCTTGCTTCAGGCACCCCTCGATCATTCGGGAGATGGAGTGGGGTCGACCGGGGTGGCACCGGATGTGGTACCGCCACACTCTCTCTGCAATGATGTCTCATAGTTCAAACCTGGCGCATATCCCAAGGACGAGTTCCTCGAGTATTCTTGGTCAAGGGCAATGGTTCTAACATGAAGTACATGCAAGCCGGAAGTTTTGAATCCCAAAGTGGCAATTTCAACGTTCTATGTCAGAACCCACCAATGATACAAGTGCCAAATCCAACTACAACCTGAGTGCCCCTTTCTTGGACTACCTACCCATCACCCCAAACCTGGGCCTTTTCCAATGAAGAGAGGCTGGGGCTCAAATGGGATGGAGTTCTTTTTTTCACCACCGACCAGTCAGTGATCGGATACATGGGATTCCGATCACCTGGGATGTTTCAGCCCAGCTCGAACCTGCGAAGTGTTGGGGTGAATTGGTTTCCGTGTGCCAATGGGCGGCCTGGGGTGTGTTGGGTCCATTTCCTGGTTTTGTTCTTTTTCACTGTTTTGGGTCAATGAACGTTTTGGTTTGTCAGAAGATCCGTCCTGAACATATTAAGAACGTGGTGGAGTAGCCGACTTCTTCAGGTGTTCAACTGAATTTGTTTATATAGAAAACAACTGACGGAACAACTTCAGGTTCTCAACCCGACTTCTTCTGGAACTGACTTCTTCAGGTTTTCAACTTCTCAGGTTTACAAGGCAGTTCCAGTGATTTGTGACACAATCGGGCAGCAGTTGGCGGTTGCTTTGGCCGAAGCGGCCGTCCTACCTCGCACCAGCTTGGCTCAAGTGTCAATGTTGGGACGACCTGATGACTGAGGGGAGAGCCTACCAGCGGTTGTACGTGGATCACCTGCAGAACCTTTCTGGGTCAATTCGGATGAAACATCGAACAGGTCAAGAAAGCTGACTCCAGGGAAACTGAAAGGGGCCGGATGCAACCTGTTGCTCGACTCATTTTCCCTTCGTTTTTGGGATCCCACCCGGTCAGACCAGCGAAGCATACCGCCATCGATCGGACGAGTTCGGCCTCGGTCGCGACGAGTCGTGTTGGGATGCAAAGCGGACAGAGGAGCTGGCAAAGCATACACCTTTCGGAGCTTCAATGCAGCACTGCAGTCGTCACTACAGACACTTTCTAGCTCATGTCTACAAGCTGTGCAAATTTGGACACCCAGGTGAATTGATCCATGAAAGACCATCTCAGCAGCTGATACAAAGCAAAAAGCAAGAAGACAACGATTTCAAGGCGAGCAACTGAAATGCTGCTTTGCAGTTTGCAAGGTTTGTCACTACCCTTTTTGTTGAGGGAACAAAC